TTATGATTGTGACTCAACAGAGAAAGTTAGAAGGGTCTTTGAGTAAAAGCAAGGTAAATTTTTTTGTATAATAAAGTAAATTTTTTTTTGTATAATATTCTGCATGTAGATCCCTGTAATCTTACTGTATCTTCAGCTTTCTAAACAGAAGAACATTTTAGTCCTTAGCAAATATGTAAGCTATACTGGCTGTCTGAAGATCACTGAGCAAGTACCTTTTCTAAGAAGTTACCTTGCTTGTTTTCAGAGCTGAACCTCTAGGAATGTGCTAGATAAGATAAATGGCATATTATGAAAATAATTTCATCTTCAGATCCATGCTTAGTTTCACAACTAGCATTTGGTGCTTGAAGCACTCTTCATAATCTACACAACTCTGTATTTCCTTTAGGTCATTGTAGATAATTACTCCCTTCCTTTCACAGTCTTACTGTTGTGGTAGAAAAAGCATGTGTTTTGACATTAATTAGGTTAGGTTTTCATCCTGTCCCAGTGTTCTGTCTTTGAGTAAATTACTTGGCTTCAGTTTCCTCAACTGTAAAATGAGGATGTTGCTCAGGCTTATAGTAAGGACTCACGAAAGTAATGTGTGCCTACCATAAAGTGGGCAGTTGTTTGTGTTCTTTTCCTCTACATTGTTGCTTTGTTAATTAGCATTTGTATCAAAGGAGAGCAGGAGAAAGACAAAGTAGTCAAAATGTAATAGAGAAGAATGTGCCCTATTTTTATCCTAAACAGTGGCCATGATGTCTCTGTCCACATTAATAAAAAAAAAAAGAAAAATGTTGATTTCTCATAAGGAGTTTTTCTCAAATGTGAGATCAAGTTAGCCTAACTTAGACTTCACTGATTTTAATTTTTAGAGAGGAAAGACAGGATGATTTGCACAAAGTCACTGAGCTGAGACCATGGATGATACAGTTAGCCTATTAAGAAGGATAAAAATGTAGGAAACTTATGAAGCCAGAGGTTCCTGTCTGGCCTCTTGTCTTAGGTTTCAAGAGAGCTATTGTGATACGCAGGCCTGGGAAGAAAAGCTGTGGTGGGGAACCAATTGGGACGAATTAGAAGATGAACAGCATGAAAATCCATACTATCTTGCTGTACTATTGATACTTTAAGTTTTACTTTTCTTGTGAGTGTGATTATAATTTACTTAAATTCAACCTCATCTGGTTCTTTGGGGGCTGCAATTCCAGTAAGTGAAAATTCATCACATATGAAGTCATAAAGTCTTTTTTTCCCCACAGTTCTGTACCTCTGTCCTTTCCCTCCATATCCACAATTTTTAATTCATCTAGTATATTTTAATCCAGTTATGATTTTATTCTAAAAGAGTGACCCATAGTAAATAAAAAGTTCCTTTAAAAAAAAAGAAAGTATCCCTTACCTTTATATAGCACTTTATAGTTTACCAGAATAGTTACAAAGTCTTATTAGGAAGCCTTCTCTTAGGGAACTTAAGTTTGGAAACTGGTTAATCGTCAGGTTACAGTGTGGTAGATGCAGTAATAAAAAAGAAAACAAGGCATAATACTATACCATTAAGTCAAGGAAGTAAATGAAGGAAAATTACTCATTCTGCTGTGGCTGATGATTCTCATTTTAAAAGAGAGCATAAAGCCCAAACCACTGTGTTGACTTTGAACACAATGGAAAACAACTTGTTACCCTCATGGAAGCAATATTCTTAAAACCATGTTCTGGGATCTTGAAATAGAATACCCTTTTATTTGTTTATATTTAAGACTGCCATATTGGTATTTTTATTAAAAATCAGGCTATTTAAAGCAGTGGTTCTCAAACTTTAGTTTCTTTCTCATCACCTAGAGGACTTATTAAAACAGATTTCCTGGGTCCCACCTCGAGAGTATCTAATTCAGTAAGTCTGGGTCTGGGTGGGCCCAAATATTTCCATTTTTAACAAGTTCCCAAATAATGCTGATGCTGATGCTCCTGGTCCAGGAAACCACACTTTGAGAACTACTGATTTATTCAAACTCAAAAAAATTTAATGTTTTCCTAGTATGAACCAGTAATTGCTTTTAATCTAATTACTATCATATTGACTCTTTTGGTATACATTTGAGCTCATATGTGCCAAGCACTGTTTATTTGTTGACAGAGGCAAAGAAGATAAGGCACCTCCCTCAGGGATCTCAGTCTAATAGAGTTATCCCTGATAATATTATTTAAACTCACTTAATCTTCTCAGAAGTTTTATAAATTATGGTATGTAATCCTTATTTTAGGTGAAAAAAACTGAAGTCCAGGAAGGTTAAATAATTTCCTAGAATTCACACAGTGAATATAAGGAGGAGCCTCAGGATTTGTTATTCTGCTTTGCTGGTTTTGCACTGTAAAAGTTTGTGATGATTAGTGGACCACAGGAGGGATGGAATAATTGGTTCTACCTTAGGAAATCAGAAGGGCATCTCAGATGAGATGGCACCGAGCATCTTCAGGAATAAGTAAAAGATAACCAGGTAAATTGGAACTGTGAGCATTTCCAACTGAGGGAGCAGTTTCTGCAAAGGCATGGAAACCTGAGGGGACATAACGTTCCACAGACCACAAATAGTTACATTACGTAAGACCACACACAATAGACCAGATAGAGTGTGAGAGGAGAGGAGACCATAGAAGGCAGAGGTCAAGGCCATGAAGGATTTTGTATACCGGGCTAAGAAATGTTTTTAATAGAATTAGATTTTTTTATTCTTAGTCTCTTTCATATCTATAAGCTAGCAGTTCTCAAAAGTATGGTCTTTGGGCAGCAGAATCAGCATCAACTGGAAACTTGTTAGAAATGCAAATTCCTGGACCCCTCTGCAGACCTACTGCGGTGGAGCTCAGCGGTCTGTTTTAACAAGACCTCTAGATGACTCTAGTGCATGCTGAAGTTTGAGAACTACTGCAGTAAGTTATAGAATTCTTGGGTAACAGCCTTCAAAGTGGCCAAAGGGACAATAATGATAATAATTGTATCTGTGACTGATTTGATTCTGTTCAAGTACAATGTTTAACAAAATTAGAATAGTGATACCTATTAAGAGATCCATGTCTTCAGCTTGATCTGTTTATACTTTGCAAACCTGTTCCTCTGTAGCAGTAAAAGGTCTGAGTCAGGACTAGAGGTTATTATATCAGCAAAGAATAGAATGGTAACTATTTTTCCTTAGCTGAGGGAGTGGTTTAGAAACTGGCTAGGTTTTATTTTAATTATCAAAATAAATAAATAATAAATCCTTTTTGAAGGGTTTGGAGTTTATTTGGGTGTTTTGGTTGCTTGTTAATATGTAAAACTGGTGTTAAAGTTAGCATTTAAGGTATTCTATTTAAAACTGATGTTAAAAGAATTGAATATATTTAAGTCATGACTAAATGAGAAATGACTAAAACTAATTCAGTTTTTTTCTTGATATAGAAATAAGGTATAATCTAGGATTCTCAGGCAAATTCTAATCTAAATACCTGTCACTCTTTTTTGCCAAATTATGGCCAATATTTGGTGAATTTATCTACATGGTGTCTGAACTGAACTTTACACTAAAGTTTATATTAGCTGTTCTGCAGTTTATAGTTAATGTAACCTTGCTTTGTGCGGCTCTCTACAAGCATTTGAAGCCTAACATATATAAGTATTAATGATTCATATATCCTTTCCGGTTATTCGGTATACAGAAGCTCCTTTTCATCTTAGAAACAGCAGCAAGAAATGAAGTAGTATGCTGTAATTAATATGGTTAATGCTCAGATAAACAAGCGTAGTGTTTTTCATGCATTGATTCAGAGTTTCGAGAATTTAAAAGTGAAAAGTCTATGGAGGCATTGACACTAGCCTTCATTTTACAGATGAGGAAACTGAGGTTCAAGGAAGTTAAATACTTGATTTGATGGTAGTGAAGAGCAGAACCAGGATATAATGATCTACTTGGATTACATTATCAAAAGGCATTACTACATCAGACAAAATATTTCTGAGCCTCAGTCTGATGTAACATTGAGGCTCCACATCATCTAAAGTAAACTAATCTTCGGATATATTAGCATGGAAATTTAGCACTAAATACTAAATGAAAAGTATCTAGTAAAGTTTTGTATAAAAATGATTTAGAGACCTCTTCTTGTATTGATAAAATAGATTAAAGTGTCAGATTTATCTTTACAAGAAAACCTAATTGAAATTTACAAAAACACCAAGGAAAGGATATGGATCCTTGCTAGATATATGGGGGAATATAAACTGCCAAAGAAGACAATTATTCAACCTTCTGTGTCATTATCATACACATGCTAAGGTGATATTTGAACTTGGGATGTACTTATCAGCTAGACTATTTCCAAATATTTCCAGAAAAAATTGGTCTAAACCACATGCCTTAGTAGGTGATTTTTGCCACGTAGTAAAACTACAGTCAAAGCACATAGGTCTGCCAAAATGTTGAGTTCCTTGTTAGCCAACCCTGCAAGTTCTGTTTGCCCAAAAGCCTTCAAATCATTTTTACAAGCCAGTTTTTAAAATTTTAAATTTAGGTATTAAAATATAAAATCTGTAGGAAAAAATCATCATCTGATTTTTTAATGCAATAAGTAACCACTAGAATTAATACATAGAAGGCAATTAGAATATATAGTTGGTAAATGAAGAAGACTGAGAAAGAGATGGAGAAAGGGTACTGCTCATTCAAAATGTATCTTAAGTTCACTAAATTGAGAACTCCTGACTAGAATTGGGAGTTACATTTGAAAGTAGCATGTGTGTATGTCATAGGCAGATTAGAAATGTTGGAACTACAAAGGATTTTTAGAAGTCATCTATTTACATCTTCATTTTCAAAATGAGAGCTCTGAGTATGAAATTGTGAGAATAGACTAATCTATTTTAAATTACCATTTTTGGTTTTACATAAAACACAAATGTTTTTAATTATTTTAAGAGTTGGAAGAGAGCTTACATTTTTTAGAATAATTTAATGAAATACTCTAATTTTTTCCAGTGCATCTGGGGGAGGTGGTGTAGCCATTGACAACAAAATAGAACAAGCAATGGTAAGTAAAAATATATAGCCCTTTCATTTCATTGATTGTTGGTTTTTATCAGTTCTGAAAAACAAATACCTAATTTCTTTAAATCAAGATAACCAAAAGTGTATTTTTGAATATGAGATTTAGTTGAAGATGCTAGAACATTGAGAATTTTTAGTCTAGAAATACCGGTGGAGTAAATACTTCCCCTATTTGAACATCTTTTATTTCATGCATTACCATTGATAGGGCCCATTTTGATAGATATACGTATTCAGGATGCATTATGATCCCCCAAGTATTTTAGCATCAGAAATAGTTCAGAGACAAAAGAGTACTGAAATGAAAACTTTAGCTGGAAATCTTTTTCATCCTTTGGTCATTTAAGGAGACTGTTTTACTCAGCTTTAATAAATAGTCTGTTTCTATTAATTCCGGTTCTGATTTCTGCTATTACTACAAATTTTTTTTTCTTTAAGATATTGTGTTTATATATAAAAATTTTGGTTCAGGTTATTGAAACTATAGTTAGGCTATAAATAAGGACCATTAGTCTCAAACTATTTTTTTTTTAATCCTAAGATTTTAAAGTTGGAAATTGCAGGTCATTTTCTCTCTTACATCAGTACTATAATTAGTTTAATATCCTTTGTTTTCTTAATCTGACATCTAAGCATATTATCTTAATTAAACTTTTTTTGAATTCTAAGCTTATAGTAATTGACAATTTAAGGAGCATATATTTTTTGAAATCACTTAAAACTTTGAAAAGAGATTCCTGGGCTTGCTGCCCTAGTTGGGAACTGAACTTTTTATACCCCATCTTCCTTAGGGTCAGTCAAGATACAATAGAAACGTTAAAAGCAAGAGCAGAAAGCAAATACAAAGCCGCCTCGTGTTTGAGGCACTAGGTGAGCTAGAACCAAACAGCATCTCCTTTCCCTCTCACTCTTTTTGACATTCCTAATTTTGTTTTTCACAGGATCTGGTGAAAAGCCATTTGATGTATGCAGTAAGAGAAGAAGTGGAAGTTCTAAAGGAACAAATAAAAGAATTAGTTGAAAGAAACTCTTTACTTGAACGAGAAAACGCACTGTTAAAATCTCTTTCAAACAACGATCAGTTATCCCAGCTCCCAGCCCAGCAGGCCAGTCCCGGTAGCACTTCTCAGCAGCAGGCAGCGACAGCACAGCCTCCGCAGCCGGCACAGCCTCCGCAGCAGCCGAATGTCTCCTCAGCGTAAAGCTCTCTTGCCTCATTAAGAAAAACTGAAAGCAACCTATCCTTGTGTGCCACTCATGTTCTTTCCACTTGATACGAAAGCAAGTAGCCATGCTTCGGTTGTGTGTTTGGCCTTTTCAGTATTAGACAATCATTCTACAAGAGCTTCTCCTCTCTCTGAGATGTCATGCAGCGCTGTCAATGTTCAGGTTATGTCCTCAGTACACAAGGAGAATAACAGATGGGATGTGTTAAAGCTAGCAAAGTTTGCATTTTACCTGGTGCGCATGAGTGGGGTCTTTTAAGAGCTTTGGTGGCTCTCCCATGTTTCCTGTTTCCCATGGATTTACCCTGAGCCTTTCTATCACATTATAAGTAACAGTTCATCTAAAGAGCCACTTTTCTTTCAATATCAGTAACATTTGCCTACATAAGTTTTCATTTATTTGTGTTTTATTTATTACAGGGCTGCTATTTTCATAATGTACATGAACAATGTCACAGAACTTTTTTAATTTTTTTGAATAATTATAAGTATCAGTAAAGGAATTGAAAGACAGGATTGCATTTAATAGATAAAACGTTTAGGCAATAATTGAACAAAAGAATCCTGGCATATTTCTAACACTAATGGCAATTTACCTTTGGTATTTATTTTCAGTAGTAAAGACCCAGCTTGAATGTAAATTTTGTATAGTGTAAGTATGAAGAACATAGTGCAACTGTACAGGTAGTCACCAGTTATTGTGATATAATAAATAATTGGGCTATTTTGATGAAGAAAACTTTGTTCATTTGTTTCTACTTTCTAATAGAGAAATTGCCACGATTCCTCTGCTTTTCGACATTTCGTATGACTTTTTTTCGGGTGGGAATAAAAAGCTGTGAAATTGTTCAACCTACTTTGTAACCAAAGAAGCAAAGCTGTGTAATGGAGTTTTTTTTTTTTTTATAATGCACATTCTTTATGTATTTTTACTTAGTGTTTTCTCAGTCACAATTTTCTTTGCTGTCTAGCATGATCTGCATGATCTATAATCTTTGAACCACTTTCGTACCTCATGTTTTTATCCAGCACTCTTATTGTAATATGTACTAGTCTGTGAACAATGTCAAATAAAAAAGAACGAACAGGTAGTATGGTGGAGCTGAGCTAGTGCGCTATACACTAGTTGTAAAAAAAAAAAATGAAGTGAGCCATCTTTTGTTCATTTAAAATGGTGTTTTGAATTTCGTATGCAGAAAACGTTTTGTTACATTGCAGATTTTAATGTATTTAATAAATGCAACATGCAGATTAAGTGCAGTGTATACTGAGTATTTAAATTAAAATGTACATTTCATAAATACAATTTCAAGAGAAAGCATCATTTTGTGTATACTAACACATTAAGTGTATGTCAGAAGTTGATGTATAAATATATATTTTAACACATTTTCTGAAATTAAACTGCAGTTTTGTTGAAATATTTGGCTCTATATGTGTTCAAAATTTAATTTGATTAGATTTGTATTTTCGCAGTTCAAAATATTCCTTAAATGAAAACCTATGTTATTAATGACTTAACGATGGTTCTTAAATTTTCAAAGTAAAATAATTTAAAGAATGCAAGAATGGTGAGCAATATTTGTACTTAATATTCATATTATGTCAATGACATTTGAGTAGGAAATCCTTGTCTACCAAAACTTTTACTTGAATTCAGAAAGGTGCCTGTAGAAATTAACATGCTGTGTATCTATAGCCAGCTAGCTAATCAAGAGTTAATGAGAACCAATAGTTAGCTCTCTGTGTTAAAAGACGATAAATAAGTGTTCTTTATTTAAAATAAAAAATCAAATCAGCTACAAACTAAATGGCATAAAATCGAAGTATACATGGGATTTTCAATTATTTTACATTATAGTTGTGCTGAATGATATATTCACTAAAAACAAAATTTTAATGTTAATTAACATTAGAACTAACTAAAGGAACTAAGTACTTAGGCTTAAAGAAGCAACCTAAAGATGTGGAGTAAGATTTTAAATAGAGCCACCACAGATGAGCTAGAAGGTGAAACTTTCGTGTTGGAATGTTAACCAAAAGGCTCACCCAGTGTGCCCCATAAGAGCAAACAATGTGGTATTTAATACAGGTGGAGAAAAATTAGTATTAGAAAGGGTTGAAATTTTGTGAAAATGTAAATTTTGATGTTGGGATAGAAAAACACTTTATAATCAGTAAAGTAATAGTCACAAAGGAAATGATTAGTATGTTTAAAATGGTAATTGAAATAAATTACTACTTTTTAAAAAATCACGATAGACGAGAAAACCTTGGATAGTTCACAAAAGAAATAAATGGCAGTTGCTAAAAGTTGAACCTCTAGTAACCTAAGAAATGCAAATTAATATTTAACAAATGATTTTTCTTTTAAATAGCAGGACCTAATGTCGAAGGGCAAGCTTTCCTGAGTACTTCCAGAAAGTAAGTTGGCAAAATGTATTAAGGCCTTAAATATTAATACACTTTTCAATTTATTTTAATGACATGAAAAGATACTCAACTAATGGTGCAGTGTTCAAAAAATGCAAAATTACAGTAGTGCCTGTTCTCTCCTCTCCTACCCTCTTCTCCTTCCCTTTGGATCTAAATTCATCATGAACACCCTTAGAAATAGCTGTGAAAGGAAGCCTGTACATCCGGACCTCCTCTAATAAGGCATGCCCCCACTCCAAAGTCAGGGACAAGCCTAAGAGGGGGAAAGCTGTGTGCTTGCCAGCATCAGATACTCTGTATATGGAGACATCAAGCATTCCCCCAAGTGGTTAGTTTAGGATCTTAAGTAAATTTCAGTTTTACCTCAGATATTTAGAGTCTCCTGTTACACATGGCTGGAATATTAATTTATTCAGATGCCAGTTTGAGAGCACAGTCTTACAGGAGAGCCATCTGTAATTTTCTCAGTGAAATGCTCATAGACCAAGGTGCCACCTAAGTTTTTTGTTGGTTTACTTTAGCCAAGCAAAAATTCAAGTAGAAAATTTGTTTCTGAGATGGGAATGTGTCTTCAATATGAACCTAACTTTCCCCAAGCTACAATGTGATTTTATAGCTTGCTACAGCACCCCCCAAGAAAGGGGGGGGGATTGTAAGATATTAAATATGTTTAACTCATAACTGTATGTCCAAAATAGCTGTATATTTCCAATTTTATTTCCTGAGCTAAGCATAGTAAGTATTATTAAGACAGGAATGCTTTACTACCAAGCCCTCAGTGATGGATAATTAAAACTACTATTATTCACAAGGAATTGTCACAGGTCAGAGACTATGATGTTTCTCCAAGTTCCAAACCTTAGTCACTCCTGCACTTTAAAAAAAAAAAAAAAAAACGAGTTGGGGAGTAGGGTAGGCAGGGTCCTTAAGATTAACCAAAATACCTGTTCATGGAAATTTCATCCTTGTAGAACCAGAAATAAAATATCACCTAATTTTCTGGAAACATTTTAAGGATAATCTGAAGTCACGTATTTTTGTTTTGTTTTATTTTGTTTTTGAAGTCATGTATTTTTTAAAGGAAGCTTTATAGCTCAGTGGCAGGCACTTTGTGACATGATTCAGTCCTGTTTTCAGTCCTGTTCAAAAATCTTTTGAAAGGATAAAGCCCAGCTCTCAAGATTCACAGTTTAATTAAGGATACAGACAATCAAATAGATACAATGCAGTAATAAAGACTTGTATACACAGTCAAGGATGGCTTTGTCAAGGAAGGTTTCCTCAAAGAGGTGACACCTGAGTCTTGAAGTTCACAAAAGTAGAGAGTGCTCAAAGGCTTAAACGAGAGCCATAAGCAAAGCTCCTTGGGGAGCACAGAACTGTTTCACAGGAGGCAGGCAGACAGGCAATGACTGCCTCACCCACTTGTGTAGTTTGGCATCTATTCAGAAAGCAAGAATGATTTATTATATGATTTTAAGAAATGAGATTGTAACCAATTGCATTTCAGAAAAATAATTCCACTTGCAGATGAGAGGTAGTTGGGCGTCTGAAACTAGAAGCTGAGAAGTAATTTAGGAGGGGTAGTAATAATCCAGAAAAGAGATGATGGATAGGCAAAATTATACAGGCAATCTTGTGACTTCATGAAGGAAGTTTGTCTTGGGTCTTTCTGTACCATTTTTCCCTCCACGATGAACATTCCATTCCCTGGGTCAGGTGCCTGTTTCTTACTGCTCCAAGGAAAGATCAGAGAGCTCCAAGTCTTAGAAAGTTTGAGAAAGACTTTTCCTTCCAACAGCCTTATATCTCTATGAAATGAGTCTTTATTTCCTTTTAAAGGGACTTCAAGAATTTAGCAAAAGTGTAGGGGGTACTAGAAGAGACTTGGCTGTCCCTTTATGCCTCTGTGTAAATCCAGCCCTAAAGGTAAACCAAATTTTGTCCTTTTATGGTGACTACAATTAGAGTGGTCCAGAAATATGAGTTCAGAGTTTGTCCCTCAGAGTTACTTCTTCCTCCCCAGAAAGGATAGTATGGCTTCTAGCTCCAATGCAGATACTAACAGCCCAAGTCAGGATAGTTTTGGTAAGCTCCAACCTTCCGTTCTCTGACACAGTTCAATTCCGAAGGCTTTCTGCCCTAGAAGTCCCCTGCCTAAGCAAAACTGGACCTTTTCTCCCACCTCCTCATACCTCATAATCCCTGTTTCTATTTTCTAGCAATACTAATAGTTCATTATTTAGTGATGTCTATTTGCTTCCTATTACTTCCTTTTTGACATTCCAGAATGCATTCCTGTTTCAGATTTTTCTATATCATGTCACAGAACTTTTATGGTAAGAACTGTTCTTTAAATGCATGTATTCCTTTTGTCAGCGGAGAGAGTGCTGTACAAGTGCTATTTAGTGATTTCCTTCATCTACAAATTGGGCTGACATGCTGTGTTCACAAATAAAAATGCTAAGTGAGGCACTATACCAAGCAAGTTTAAGGTCATAGACATCCTCTTTTTTTTTTTTAACAGAATCATCAAAAATAAAAGTAAGGCAGCCTTTCAAGATTGGTAATGGTTAAGTAAGAAGCTGGTATTTTGCACTGGCACTGTCTACTTGGTCATAGAATTTTTCAGCATGCATGGATGGTGAGTTAGTGTTATTTTTCCTTCTCCTCACCAGGGAAACTGATAGATCAAGCAGTTTGGGGAATTTTCCCATGGTCTGATGTCAAGGGTTCAGCTATAAAATGGAGCATCAAAGTTTATGGACAAAGACATTACCCACCAAAGTCGGAAAAGATGTGCTAATTTAGATGATAAAAATAACTGAATTTTAAAATAAAGCAAGTGCCACACTTCTACTTTCCCATAAAAAAGTTGTTTACCTTTTTTTTATTCATTTGCATGCTTGAGATGTTTCTATATAATGACTGTAAAGTATGCTTGCCCACTGCAATCCAAAATGTTTTCCAGATTACAGTTCTTGCTGTCATTTAATAGGCAAGCAACATGTCTATAGATAGAGCATACCTGAGGAAGTCCATGGACAGCAAGGGAACATTTTTCCCACACTTGGGCATGAACTGTCAGGTCAGTGTCTAATTCTAGTGTTCCTACTTAAAAATATATTTTTTTAATCAAATGGCAGATGGACAGAAAAAAATAAATGTGTAAGTGTGTGATGCCCCTAAAGTAAAGGTTTTGTTTTTAAGGAGCTTGAGTTTTATTTTTTATTTCATAGAAACATTGCTGAAATGCACTTCAATTCTATTTCAGTTCAGGTGCTGCACCCTGTACTGGCTGTTTAGGGATAGAAAGATGAAGGACACTATATGTACACTCCAGGAGCTCATGTCCAATGTAAAAGTAAAAGCTAGAGTGCCGTATTGTTTTTTCAAAGTGTATGTCATAGTTTGTGGGCATCATATTATTTGTTGAATGAAAGGTTCTTATAAATCAACTGTAATATTGCCATGCCATGAGAAACTCTCTGACATTGCCAGGAAACAACTTTAAATCACCAAAAAGCTTTAACATCAAATAATACTTTTAGAAAGAGGGGACCTGGTGAAAAGCCTTTCAGCTCTACACTTAGCCTGTGAGGTGTCCCCTAAAAAAGGAACTAAGCTGAAAGAAGTTTACACATGTCTTAGTACTGTTAAGTTTGTAGATAACATTACTGATTTAAATTAAATTTAACTAGAATAGCATTTGTGTGTCATGAATTATATCATCGATTGTCTCATAAGCAACACATTATCTTGGCTGACAAAATCAGCTACCATTCAGTGAACCAAGTTAAGAATAACTCAGGTGCCTAATGCCAAAAATAAATCTGATAGAGCTGAGAATCCAGAAACAAACACAAATATATATTGAATAAATGATAAAAGTGACATTTCAAACCAGTAGGGAAGAATGGATTATTGAACAAATAGTATTAAGACAACATAACTATTTGGGAAAAAGATAACTTTAGATCTCTAACTCACCAAAATTAATTCCAGCCAGACTAGCAGTGAGCCTTATTCTTTTTGGTCACATATCCCTTTTAGAAATAGCCCTATGAAAATGCACATAAGCCAAAAGTTTTACAATTAAGTTATGAAGAAATGCCCAACTTCAGCAAGATAAGGAAAATTAATGCACATTAAAACACAAGAAACCATCTCAGATCCAACTGGCAAATATTTAAAATAAATGTAAATCAAGAGTCTGGGGAAACAGGAATCCTACGTCGCTGGTGAGCATATAAACTAGCACAGCCACTTTTAAAGACAATTGAGTGGTGTCCATTACAGTTTTAAATTCACATGCCCCATGACCCAACAATTCCAATTTTCAATGAAACACACTTTACACACTTCTGTTCACAAGGTGGCTTGTACAATGATATCTGTTGTACCTTTGATTGTAATAATACAAAGTTGGAAAAAACAAAATACCCATCAAGGGAATGGGGCACGGTACACATTATAAAATACTAGGCATTAATGAAAAAGGAGAGCCCTACCTGTACTGACATGGAAAAATCTCTAAGTTACAATGTTATGTTTTTAAAAATTTAAGGAAATATTGAAGGATAATACATGAAATACATACGATACCATTGATGTTAAAATGCCTACCACAGACATTCACACACACAAATACTGTATAGTGTACATCTTAAGTACCTAATTGTGTATTATAAAAATGTATAGAGAAGGTCTGGAAGGATACTAATCAAACTGTTCACAGTAGTTGGGTGGAGTGCATTAGCTTTACCTGTAATGTTTGATGTTTTTGAGTATGCATTCATGTATTGTTTGTGTAATGACAAATTAATAAATTAGAAATAAAATAAAATAGAAAGTGTTTCCTTCTTGTCTGCTGCTAATGTCTCCCATGGTGCTCTGGGTGCTTGTCATCTTCAGCCTTCTCTCCTCCCACAGTTGCTTTTCCTCCCTCTCCCATTTGTTCTACTTGGATCTCTCCTATGTCCTTATCACATCTGTATTTATATAGGCTTAATAAGTAAATAAATGATAAATAAGTAACCCTCTCCCCTAACTGGGAATGTGCCCCCTCCACTTGCCTTTCTACTTCTTTCCTTTTTGCTCACTGCTTATCACACACAGTCTGGTTGGGGCCCCTGTTGTGCTCCCAAGCCATTCTCACCATGGTCACCAAGGGTCACTTTGTTACTAATTCCATTCAATATATTTCAGTTCTTATCTTATTGAACTCCTTTACCTAATTTCAGTTTATTATCATTTGTTTAGTCTAGTATCTCATTTTCTATCTCTTCATTTGCCTCCTTTTTTTTTTTTAGGGTTTCTCTTGTAAAAATATATATATATACATGTAGCGAAATTTTTAACCTAATCTGTCTTTTAATAGATTATCTTATCCCATTTGTTATCATTACTGGCATATTTGTATTTCTGCCATCTTATTTCATGTTCTCTCCTTGAAATGCTTTGCAAGTGTCCCCTCTCCCCCCCCCCCCCGTTTTCCCCTTTTCCTGACTTTTACTCAATTGTTTTCTTACTCCTTTTTTCTCTCCTCTGATGGTTGGGAAGTTATACATTCCCTGTCCATTCTTCCAGGGTTTTATCTCACAGTTTTTTTTTATTATTTTGTTGTGGAAATTTTCAATTATGTATAAAAGTAAACAGAATAATGAGTTTCCATGTACCTTTCACCCAGCTTAAACAATCGTCTATTGTCAAGGCCAATCTTGTATTATTTACACTTGCATCCATTTCCCCCCATGACCCTCTGGATTATAATGAAAACAATTCAAGATATCATAACATTTAATATGTCTCTAACCTATAAGCACAGATCTCTAAAATATAAGGATTTTATAAAAACTATAATATTATTATCTTACTTTAATGTTAACAATAATTCCTTAATATCATTAAAAATCGAGTCAGTGTCTACATTTCCCTGCTTGTCTTACATTTTTTCATAGTGCATTTGTTTGAATTCAAATCAAAATAAAGTCCATACATTGCAGTTGGTTGGCATGCCTCTTAGGTCTTTTAATCTATAGGCTCCTCACTCTGTTTTTCCCTAGAAATCCCTTAAAAATTAGAGTTGTTTGTCCAGTAGCCTTTCCCAAGTCTGAGTTTTCCTGATGGCATTTTGTAGAACCGTCTAACCCCTGTGTTTCCTGAAAATTAGTTAGATCTAAAATCTCAATCAGATTCACGTTCATATTTTTTCAAGATTAATTCATAAGTGATGGTGTATACTTCCATCACATAAGGTCTGGCTGTCTCTATTTTGTGATTTTGGCAGCATCGATAAGCATTGCCTAGACCCATTAGCCTATTAAATCTATCATTCCTTCTCACTCATTTGCAAAATACTTCTCTAAAGAGAAATTTGCCCTTATCAACTGTTCAATTACCTTGAGGTTCATATTAGAAAGACAGGGACTTAATTCTTCCCTTTTATTTCTCAGTTTTCAAAATAATGAGTATAAAGGAAGAAAAATAGGGGGAGAGGGTATAGTTCAAGTGGTAGAGTGCATGCCTAGCATGCACGAGGTCCTGGGTTCAGTCCCCAGTACCTCTATTATAAATAAATAAATAGACCTATTTACCTCCCCACCCCCAGATAAATAAATAAATAAATAAATAAGCAGTGATAGAGGAAGACCTACTCTGATACTTTATTCTAAGAAGAAAGAGAGAATAAAGTGAGTTGATTTAGGATGGTGTACATCAGGTGTTGATAGGGAGAAGCCAGGAAACAACCCCCCAAAAAGCTGAGGGTGGGAAACAGTAACCTGAAGGCTTGTCTGTTTACTGCTGAGTCTGAGAGAGAATTCTGAGTCAAGAGTACCTTGCGGGAATGTGGGTCAGAAGCCCATATCTGGGCAGAGGAGGGCCTGGTTCAGAAGCAGCATCAGCAGCCAGAAAAAGCAGGTCAGGGTGCCCTGTGGACCCAGGGAGCGAAGAGTTACACAAATGAGCAGTGGATTATTGTGTGCTGACTCTCTGCCAAATGGAGACTGGAAATGCTCTCCTTACAAACTGACAACAAGCCAGGAAGTTTCCTAAGAAACAGCATGGGATCGGTAACATTTAGCTTAGGCAGCATTACTTCTAAGCAAGGCAATAAAGATCAGCAACTCTGGTAACCATGTGTTCTATTTATTGCCTTTATTAACCATGTCACAACTCTTGGTGAGGATCAGTTTCTTTATCAGTTGTATGGTCTTGCCCTGGAAACAAGCAGAGGCTTCGGAGTTGAGACATGAGCTTAAGAATATTGGTCTTTTTGCTCCTCCTAGTAACCACTCCTCCTATCCACTTTTCTCCAGGGGGAACTCTCTACCTTTCCTTTCCCCCTCCCCACCCGACCCTGCATCCAGTTGACTGTCCTTATTAAATTCTTATTGGGGAAAAATTGAGAAGGAGCCTCTTCCCAGGAATGTCAGCCTCTTTTTAAATGGGACTTATGAAGCCTACCCTGTCCTGTTCTCCAGAGAGAATGAACAAGTGAAGACTTGGCACCAGCTGCGGAAACATGACCAACCCGTTGCTTCCAGCGACTTTGAGTTCCAAACCTGTGAGTCTTGGCTTTTTTACCGCCTTTCAGCTTCCTAAACCCATCCAATTCAGCATTAGGTAATGGCTGTGATGACAGCTGACTCATCTGGGAATGCAGTTTTCCTGGAGGATTTCTCTGCTCAGGTAATCACACCTCAGGAGAAAAAAACTGGTTTATACAAGCTTATACTCCTGGATATTGAAGAATGTCAGCACAGGGTGGGGATTTCTCCTGGCGAGGAGGAGAAAAGGCATCAGAGTTCTGGGACCAACATGTGAGACTTCAAGTGAACAGTCTAGGAAATGTGGGGCAGCAGGGTGCCGCCGCTTAGAGCCAGAAGCTCAGTGGTATAAAATTGAATGAGAAACCCTCCTTTGCCTTTGATAGCTGGGGACCTTCAAACCAGGTCACCCTCAAAGGTGAGTTTTGTGAGAGCAAGGACTTCTACTTTTTTATTCACAGTTGTACTCCTGATGGATGGATGGATGGATGGGGATTCACATGCTTTATTCCTCGGTTTTCTGATCTGTTAATGTAGCCTGGGATAACCAAGTCATAGGCTTGTTGGGAAGATTAAACAAGATGGAATATGTACATTACTTCACTGGGACCTGGACCCTAGCGAGCACGCAGTAAATTCTTGCTCCTGCTATCCTTTCTGCCTCTGTCTAGACATCTGGTTGAGGCCATGCTCTCTTTCCTCATCACTTTTTGACCAAAAGCTCTAGGAAAAGATTGGGTGATTTTCAGGCCCTGGGAATAGCACCTACAATAATACAGGTCACCAAGATAAGTTAAACCACATTCTCCAAAATCTTTTCCCCCCTTTTATCTCACTAGATCCTCACAATTATCCTAGTAAGACTTAGGAAAGCAAATGTTTTTCACATTTGACAGGAAAACAGGTTTAGAGAATCCAAGGGCCTTACAATCTGCCCAAGATCTCAGAACTGGTTAGTGGTAGAACTAGATTCCAGGCTGCGGGAAAAAAACCGAACCCCATGTTTTTCTCCCCATGATACTCAAGAGGGTTAGAGGTCACAGGAAGAAAGAACTCCCTTTCTAGAACAAATTACGTTGAAGCCGTACACAAATTATTCCTATTCATTGATTTCATCTGTTTTATTTCATTGAGGCAGCTCTGTGATTCAAACTATGGCCACGTGGCATGAGCAAAATGAGAACAATATATGACAATGTATCCTCCTTGGAATGAAGAAAGGTAAGTCTCCATCATAGAATGCCAACAAGACTGCAATCAGCTTACTGATAGCTGATTTCTGCAGCCTCATTGCAGGGGAGGGGTGCTGACTATCGTTAATTTGTCTGAAATGTGTGTTTTCTTAAGTAGTACATGCTCATTAAAAAATTTCAATGAAGAAGCTTATCTTAAAAAAAAAAAATCAAAACCTCCCCCTCCCTATTCATCCTCAACCCTAATCTGCAGAGTTAATCTCTTCTGATAGTTTTCTCTGCATGTAGTTAAGATACACACACATACACACATTTTGTGGGGTTTTCTTTTTTTTTAACATTTTTTATTGATTTATAATCATTTTACAATGTTGTGTCAAATTCCAGTGTTCAGCACAATTTTTCAGTCATACATGGACATATACACACTCATTGTCACATTTTTTTCTCTGTGAGCTACCATAACATTTTGTGTATATTTCCCTGTACTATACAGTATAATCTTGTTTATCTATTCTACAATTTTGAAATCCCAGTCTATCCCTTCCCACCCTCCGCTCCCCTGGCAACCACAAGTCTGTATTCTCTGTCTGTCTATGAGTCTATTTCTGTCCTGTATTTACGCTTTGTTTTTGTTTGTTTGTTTGTTTGTTTTTTAGATTCCACATATGAGCGATCTCATATGGTATTTTTCTTTCTCTTTCTGGCTTACTTCGCTTAGAATGACATTCTCCAGGAGCATCCATGTTGCTGCAAATGGCATTATGTTGTCGGTTTTTACAGCAGAGTAGTATTCCATTGTATAAATATACCACCTCTTCTTTATCCAGTCACCTGTTGATGGACATTTAGGCTGTTTCCATGTTTTGGCTATTGTAAATAGTGCTGCTATGAACATTGAGGTGCAGGTGTCATCCTGAAGTAGGGTTCCTTCTGGATATAAGCCCAGGAGTGGGATTCCTGGGTCATACGGTAAGTCTATTCCTAGTCTTTTGAGGAATCTTCACACTGTTTTCCATAGTGGCTGCACCAAACTGCATTCCCACCAGCAGTGTAGGAGGGTTCCCCTTTCTCCACAGCCTCTCCAGCATTTGTCATTTGTGGATTTTTGAATGACGGCCATTCTGACTGGTGTGAGGTGATACCTCATTGTAGTTTTGAT